CAGTTTATTACGGCGAGTGGAACAAAAATAACAAGTCCGCAATTAACATGGATATATGAATTATGCAAAAATAGAAAAGAGTGAACTTTGAGGTCATGCTGTGCGACTTTGAAAGCCGTTAGAGAGATGAGTGGACGCATTTGAATTAGTAGTATACCAAGGTATCCAGTGATGTAATTTTACCCACAAACGGACTTGAAGTTTTTAAGCTAATTTTTTTTTAAACCACTTTTGTCCAAAAAAGCATATTTTTGACCCAAAATCAAAAACGCATTCTGGATATTTAAAATAAAGACAAGTTTTACAAAGTTTGTATAATAAGCTTTCAGAAAATATATAACATGTTGGATATATAATACCATCTTCATTGTCTAATTACTCAATTAAAAAGCAAGCCAAATAAACTGCATCTCTACCTTAAGGTTATTACGAGGATACCTCAAAATATGCACTCAGACAGTACACCATCACATCGACATCCGCTGTGCGTCGGTCTATACTCCCACTGTACTGTCTTTGTGCATACTTTGGGGTATCCTCGTAATAATCTCATATTATGAGAAACCACAAAACATAGACTTAAGTAGTACAGGACAGCATCATCTCTTGGTCATTATGTTCACCACATTGCTTTTGTGAATATTCTCATGATAACGTCATAATAAAATGAATATGATTTGCATTATTTGACGTACCCAAGGTCATGGTATTGTCCCGGTTCATCGTGTGGATCTAGTAAAAATCTTTTCTGTTGAGCTTCTACAGTATTATCAGATCGTTTTACAGTAACAATAGGGTAACCCACTTGTAAGAGCCATGGATCCATAATCTCCTTCACATCATTGTTTCCATGACCACGATCAGCCTGCAAATAAAGCACATTACCACAGTTGTATCATTGTAACTGCATGAATTCAGTGGATACTGTTGTGAAAGATTAAGGTTATTGCTGCATTATTATAAATTATAATAATTATTATAATTTGAGAAGCACAAACATATTAAAAAATGTGACAGCCAACATGCAGAGCACTAGAAATCACTCACACTTAATTTATGAAAATAATAGTTCATAATGGGTGTATGCATGGTCTACAAATAGCAATAATGTTTATTGTAATTCTCTTGCATCAATAAATTTTCAACTCAGTTCATGTATCCAATAAATTCATACATCATTTTAATGAGCTGACATATGAAACCCATTCCATGCTAGGAATTAGTAGAAAATGAGCAACACCCTCTTGAGGCAGATTATTGAAATTCTCCTGTGCATATCTACCGTTAATTGAAGTGAAGGCAGTTTAAATTATGCCAAATGTGTGACAAGAGAAACAATACAACAGTGAAAACAAATGCCTTTTTCTTTAACACTGTTCTATAAAATTGTTATAAAAAAATTAAGAGCAGTAAAAATCCAATTGTAACACACAAAAGAATCCTGTTTCATGTTACCATGCATACCTCCTTGACTATACCACAGTCCCTCCACACCCGGTTAGGAAACGCTCAGAGTTCTATTGTCACAATGAGTATTAGTGTTCGTAAATTAGATTTCCGGTAATCCCCACACTGTCTACATTAACATAAAATTAGCATATAGTATGACATAATTTTCACCCAGAATACCTCGTAATTCATTTCTGCGCAGGCGTGCACAACTTTATTTTTATGTTTCACTGCTGTGAAAGTTTCAACTTTCTGACTTCTGGGCATTTTATTCTAACGAAATGCGGAAAAAACACGAAGATTTCGTTGACAAAGATATTGATTGGAATGACATGATGGAATAAGGACCCCAGTATTTAGATGCAGGATATGTGCATCGTTACCACCACCGATGTCATGTATGGCTTCAAGTTGACACACAAACAAGACTGAATTTTTAACTGGAAAAAAACGAATGAAATAATAAAGAGAACAACAATGGAAATAATATTTGCCATTTTTTAGGATATCTAACATCCAAATTGTACTAACTATATGATAGTTTAAGCCAAAATATACAAAGGTTGATATAATCGGATACTCTAAGCATAATGGCGACAATAGTAGGTATTGCCATCTTGAAAACAAAAATTCTGTCGAGCACATATATCTATCGAGTAACATGACACACTGTTATTAAATATGATTAGAATGGGTCATATAACAACATAAATGGTTTGGTTATCTAAAAGCTATAATTTAAATTCCATCTTTTAAGTTTTGGTAGTTCCTATTTCTCACGGAATAACATTTTCTGTTAGTTACACCAAACATTGATCATACACAAAACCACGGCAAAATCAAATGGGAAATGAATGACTGAAATGAGCATCTTCCAAGCACTTATGCACAAAGTAAAAAATATTGTCTGAAAATTAAAGTATCAAATCACAAATTGATAACGACTGTGATTGTTTTGGGGGTGGTAACGCGATTCACCAGGGTTGAAACTTTCGTGGTACTATTGCCGTAACGCATACAGTAATAATGAATGAACATGGTAGCTACAGTTTGAAATCTCTTTTTTTTTCGTTATTTATAATGAATATTGATTTTAAACTCTGTGTGACTTTTGCCAAAACGGATATGATCACACAGAGATTTGTAACTTTAAATAAAATTTATTGACTTTGCTCAAAAACATGCAATATTTGTAGACGTACACTGAACGGATGTGCTTCAAACGAGCTCGAAGATAATGCTATGATGTCACCACTCTCTCCCCAAAAGCCAAACAGGCACTGTACATGGAACTCGGGCGATTCACACCAAAGAACAATAGCACTTCCTAACCGGGTGTTGAGGGACTGTGATTATACATAATAAACATGGTCATGACAATAATAACCAACTTTTCTCAAAATATATGAGTATAGGCTTATATTACAGCACACACTATCAACACTACTGTAAAACATGTTGAAAAAGCGACATACTATTTTAGCGAATTGCGATAAAATGACGTAATAGCGAAATGTTGATTTAGCGAATTTCTTTTGTCTTTGTTGATTTCCTGTTTTCACAATACTTATCTGTCACCTGCCAAAACAAACGCGCAGTTATTACCTCCATATATATAAAACAAAGAAAAACTGTCAAGTTGAATAAGGAAGAACTCCAGTTTATTATTACATTTTCTGTGTTGTTAACAAAGTGTGTGTGTGTGTGGAGAAAAAGACGTTGTTTGGCCGCCATTTTGAATTTATAATAAAGTCATTAGCGACATCTTAAATTAGCGAATTAGTTCTCTCGTTAAATTCGCTAAAAAGACATGCTCGCAAAAAAGACATGTTTACAGTATATATTTGGCTGATAGTAGTATATAAGTATATTGGTATTACCGTTGTTAAATGGCGCCATAGGTCATCTGTCACTGCATTGCTGTATAACTTATCATTTAAATAATTAACAATACCATCATGAAAAACATCTTTACCCAGAAACCATTGCATCATCATTATCATCGCTGCACCCTGGAATATGAAATAACGTTACATACTGCATCAATCCTTAGCTTGGATCTATACAAAACTTTGGCAGTAATCACTCATGTCTTAATTATGATTGTACGTTACACCTTTAAGCATATAGACTAGTACTTCATGTTATCTAAAATGTCAATTATCCAATCACATTAGGCTCCACTAAAACAACATTAAGAGGCATGTCAACATACTTAATTCAATAAAGTTATATACCGATGATGTTATTAGAACAAGTCATAGACATGAGAAAGTCCCGTCATGCAAGAACAAACAAAGCTGAAACCAGTCAGCCATTTTGTATCAGAAATTGACATGATGTAAATGGTACCAATGTGCTACTTTGATTTGATTTACACAAAAAACTGTCCAAATCTATATGAAAACATTTAACATTTTTAACATTAGACAACCAGCATAAGTCTTTTCCTCTCAGTACTGAAAGTTATAGCATACAAGTCATTGTCAATGACACGTCCCCGTTCCGTTCATATTTGAGTGACATATACATTCAAAGCAGATCATGACCGAAATGCACCTGCATATGTACAACACATTGTGCTAAATCTGAACAAAATCCATCCATGCATGACTGAGATCCAGTTCTGGAATTGTGAAAATATGTGATTTTGATGCATTTTCGGCCTTAAAATGGCCATCATTCCGCTATTGTTAAGCAGATCATGAAACAAATGCACATATCTATTTGTGACATGATGTACCATGTGTGTGTGAAGTTTGAACTTGATCAATCCAGACATGTCTTGGATACGGATCCAGAACTGAATTCTTTAACAAAATGGCCGCCAGTCGGCCATTTCGAACTTGATCCGAAAAAAAAAAGACGTGCATCAAGGTCCTATTATGTTTAATGTATGTACCAAATTTGAACAAAATCCATCCATGCATAACTGAGATACGGGTCCGGAATGGTGAAAATGTGCGATTTCAATGCATTTTCGGCCTTAAAGCGGCCCCCATTTGGCTATCGTTAATGAGATCATGAAACAAATGCACATACATATTTGTGACATGATGTACCTTGTGTGTGTGAAGTTTGAACTTGATCAATCCAGACATGTCTCGGATACGGATCCAGAACTGAATTCTTTAAAACAAAATGGCCGCCAGTCGGCTATTTCGAACTTGATCCGAAAAAAAAATGACGTGCATCAAGGTCCTATTATGTTTAATGTATGTACCAAATTTGAATGAAAATCCGTCCATGCATAACTGAGATCCGGGTCC